AGATTAACAACCCAGAGTCCGTGTACTACTGGGCCTACAAGGTGAGATGTCTTCTCTGTACAATATACATCCTTTCAAACACCAATATTTTTTGCCCTGTTTTTGTTCAAATAGTACTTGCTTTCCCAGCTTGAGCTAAAATGTGGCACTGGCAAAATCTTCATGGAAGCTGCTTTCATTTCACGAGTATCTTCCAGAGGATCCAGATCAGGAGGCCCTTTAAATAAATGCACATTAAAAAATTAAAATGGGAAATTTAAAAGCATATCACTCTGTCTGAACTAACTGAAGTGTTTCTGTGTATCTCAGAATGACATTCCTGTGTTCAGTCCAGCCTTGACGGACGGTTCCCTGGGTGATATGATCTACTTCCACTCCTACAAGAACCCTGGGCTTATTCTAGATATAGTTGAGGGTGAGACATAGAGGAATGGTGCCCTGATTCTGTTCCCTTGGCATTTCATGCATCTTCAAGATTGTGTTTTACAGCTGAAGTATATCTCAATATCATAAAAAACATTCAGTACTGCTACCAACACCTTGACATTGATAGAGGTTCCTGAGTGATACTTTATTCAATACCAGTTTTGCAAAATTCATTTTAGGAAAAAGAAAATCACATTACACATTTCAGTACAAATCTTTAGTTTTATTTTTCAGCTCCTTGGCATTTTTACACACTCAATAACATAAAAAAATGAGTGAATGCGTTTGATATTCCACCGGCTTCCTGAATTTGGTAACCCAGATACACCTTTCGGCAGCCCGGTGTACCGTCCCTGCATTATGGTTCAGGACGGTGCGCTGACTGTAAATGGAAGTACTGGCATAGTAAGGTGAAAGAAAAAAAAAAAGATAAAAAATCAGGCCACACAGACAAAAAGCACACAGAGGCGTTGAGCAGAAACATCGATTCTAATGAATGAATGCATTCATACTGCTATGAATTCCAGGAGCAAAAATGTGGATTATCTGCTGGTCTGGGTTGGGAAACACTGTATTACGTTAATTGTATTAAGTTCATTGCAGTTTGCAGAATTATTCGCTTAGTAATTATCACTGGAGCAGACCAGCTGTTCATGACAAAACATGCGTTGTACTGATGAATTGTGACAGAAGATTTTCAGGGAAGATGCATGTTTAATATCACGTTTAACATCGTTTTTAATATCTCGGCTGTGCGTTCGCTCAGACCTGCCAGCGATGCCCCTGAATACCCGCGCACACACGTGGGCCCTGTCTCTGAGCGTAATGTAGTGTTTTTTAATGCTTCAGCCACTTGCTTATGTGGAGTTACTGATCACCAGCCGTAGTAAGTCTGGATACAAGCATACAAGCCTGATAGAGGCTCATTGGCTCACTGACACTGATGAGATTGACTCATGACGGGCATCTTTCAAAACAATTCAGGCAGCGCCATTAAAAGTATCGAAGTTCGATACCCAGCCCAAAGCTGAAGTGATTGCTGTAAAATGCAGTACTGTGTTCAAAATCATGGCATGTGGACACTTTGCTGTTTTGTATTTTTCTCTGGACCCATGTGGCATTTGTATATTTTTGTGATTCACTATAGATATCCGAAGACTGAACAGTACGGCTGTGTTCGCCAAGCGCACTGGAATGATTATCCTGGGAGGTGGACTAGTTAAGCACCACATCGCTAATGCCAATCTCATGGTAACTTGAATCTTGAAAAATGCGTCTTTAACCGAGGGTCACCCTGCCTGTGCTCCTGTTATAGGGTGACTAAGATATAGGTCCAGATGATCTCTGTTGACGTCATGGTTTCTCTTATGGATCCTTCACTCAGAGAAATGGCGCAGACTTCTCTGTGTACGTGAACACAGCACAGGAGTTTGATGGATCTGATTCAGGGGCGCGCCCCGATGAAGCCGTGTCATGGGGGAAGATCCGCATGGATGCCAAGCCTGTGAAGGTATAAGGTTTTCATTCTGAGTACAGCAGCACATGGAGGCAGAATGCATCTCCTGTGCAGTGACTCTGTCGCATCTTTTAACAGACGGCTGTGTGATGAGGGGAATTCTGTCCCCTGTAGGTCTACGCTGATGCCACAATCATCTTCCCCTTGCTGGTTGCTGAGACCTTTGTCTCCAATGCTGCCAGACTGACCGGAGAGAAGAAACACAGCTGTCACTCTTAAGCAAACCTGTACTTCTCTGATTTCTCCCATATTTATTGCTATATTTGATTCTTTGTTTCATCTTCTGCTGTTCCATGACCCCTTACTCCTTCTCATCCCGTCTTCCTACTTTCATCTCCTCTCTTCCCATTCCTCTTTCCCCAGTCCTTGAATCCTTAGTCTTTCCCTCAGTTTCAGTAAATTATTTGCCTTAAGCAAAAACCTCTAGTTTTTGATCTGCATAATTGCTGTAGAACCATTTTACGTTGAATTAGTTGTCATGTCACACATGGTCTTATTGTACAGAAGACCTCAAGCATACAGATGGTGTCGGGTGTTGGTTGAGTCCTGTCTGCCGTGCATGTCGGTGTCGATGGTGATGTAAGAGTGTATATGGCCTGGCGTTACGTTACGTGACCAATATGAAAACAACGACCTTGCAAAACTGAGCAGTAACTGGGATTCTGAGTATTTTTATGAGAAAGGGATGGATGAAATAATATGGCACTGAGCTGAAATGATGCTCTCTGTGACTCAGATCTCATTCACCGCTCATAAAACAGATAAGGGAAGTTTGAGAGCTATGCAAGTGTAACACTTAATTTTTTTTAATTATTAGACAATAATTAAATTAGTACAATGGGGGCATCTCTGCATTAGGGGCCAGTGGAGCCTGGCCCCCACCAGGGTTCGTGTTGAGCAGTGCATGACATGAATAACAATTCAGTGTAACTATTATGGCGCGTTTATTACATATGACATCACTAGTGCTGTTCCATACGTTCCAAATAACTTCCTGTACCTGTTATATACTCCTCCTGTTAGTCTTCATTTAGCGAGCGTGGGCCGGCCCATCAGCGTTTGTTTAACCAATGGAGCATGTTCAACGCTGTGGGCCACCATCACGTTGGCCCCACCCTAAGAAAGCCAATAAAAAATAACAGAATGACCTGTGTGGAGGCTGTTTAATAAATGTCATTTTCAGCATCTGCGTTTGACGATTGTTAATCATCACAGTTACTTTGGCCACTACTAATAGCAAGACGATGATGAATCAGTTCTACCTCATTGATGGGGTGCGTTTGGATTTATTGAGCAAGTAGGTTTGTGTACTTTTATTCACGAGTCAGTTGCTGCCCATACAGGTTGATTGTGCCCTCCAAGTTTTACATGACAGAGATGTCTCTGCAGTGCAGCATAGCAGACATTGACCCTAACTGACATCTGTACCGGTTTTTCTCGCTCTCTTGGTTTTTCTGGAGTTTCCACCACCATTCCAGAGGCAGTGGGTTCGTAAATTGACTTCTATATTGCCTATGGTATGCATGTCCCTACTTGCCATTGATGGGTTGGGATGGGCTAACCTCTTTGACCTTGGTATATTAAAAATCATGGCTCTGGCCCTGATGATATGCGACTCTTTGACTGGTCCAGCGAGACTGTGTGTGTGTGTGTGTGTGTGTGTGTGATGTTGATCGTTTCCCTCTTTGTCTAAAGAAAAAGCATGATAATGATTTGACTGGGGATTTTGCCAATGTGATTTTCCTCCCTACCCCCACATCTCTGGATTGGAAGGTCAGACTGACCTCTAATGTATTCTGCAGACATCCCCTGTCTCTTAGATTATACCCCAGAAGCAACAAGAGTGTAACTGCAACACAGTCCATGTTAGCAAGGGGGGGGGGGGGGTTGGCAATGTGTGTCGTATTCTGATATTAACTCCTTAAGTATTGTTCATACACTGGAATATACAAGTGTATCATTGCAACAAGGTGGGTTTTACGGAGCTGGTTGGTAAATGTGTTAAACGGTAGTTTAATTTGATTTTAAAACATATTTATCTGTGTTCAGGTTGGCTGTGAATAAAGCCCATGTTGGTACCACTAGTCATAGTTTTATCTAAGTGTTTGTTTTTCTGTATAGATATACACAATCAAAAGATTTTCAACACCACAGTTTTTTATACCACATTTCTATTTATTTCATAAACTGCACATGATTAATTCTTGTAAAGCATGGGAAAGTTGAATGAACAACTATAAATGAAAATATAAGTCAAATAATACAAGTTTCCTTTATAACATGGAAATAGTATGTAACAGTGCATGTCTGACATCCTATTAACTGGTTGTGTGGTGATGGCATAGTTAAATTCTAGGCTGTGCTTTAACTTTAAATGCACTAGTTCGCGTTGTACTTAGGTAATTGCCTTTGGAAACCTTTAGTTTAAATCGTTCGTTTTAAATATTCTTGTGAATTAAATAGGGTTAAAACACCGCGGGACTGAGAATGCGGGTACGCGCGAAAGAATAAGGATTTGGGAACAATACCAGCATGCCCTGATTTACGGTATTGAAAGACCGGTCAGTCGGCATTGCATTTGCCTGCGGACCGTCTATCCACTCCCACACGCCGACAATTTAATAGGAGCGTATCTCCTGACATGGTGCCACTGTCAATATCGCTTCTGAATACAGACTTGGTAACTCATCAGCTAGTGTATGACAGTCATTTTTCTATTAAGTTTATTATTATTATTGGAACAAAACTAGGTGAAGTCATTTTTTGCTGATAATCTGCTTTTTTATTTAGGTAAGCATTACGAAATTAATATTGTTTCAATTCTTGTTTGGGATTTGCTGTAGGATACTTATTTACTACCGCGGTTGTTAGCCTCTTATTCGATATTCAATTTTCCGGTGTTAATAACTTTTAACGGAAGTCAGGTAGGATGTTTTTAATGGCAGAATTGTGATGCCCTGTACACCGACAACGATGTACACCGATTATTTTTTGCTGTTCGAGCCATTTAATATAATTTGTGAAAATCTCGTTAATAGCTAAGAAAATAGGTTGTTTCAGCTGTAATGAGCTATTGGTTTAATATTTTGGCTTCATGGCAACTGTTATACACCCCTTGGTTTTCCAGATTGCTTTACAGGCGAATTTTAATTGTTCAATGTCCGCATGTATCCGTATAATGTCCAATGGAACAGTATACATGAATAGTTAATAGGGTTAATATATCTAAAACTAAACAAGTCAGGCACATCCATTGAAGTGTGCTTAGTTCACTGAACTCTAGGGAACAATGCACACCCCCTGGATTTTCAGGTTATTTTTGAGGCTACCTTCACCGCGGTTTGTTACCTTGGGAAAGACTTGTTGTAGTGTTTATAATACAATTTAATGACGTTTCATTTTGAGTACTTACTCCAGTACAGCTGAATTGATTATATGGCCGCTTTATCCAAATGTAACATTTTTTCGTAACTGTTTGCTGCTACAACAATATTTAACTTCTAATATTAATACCATATTAACATCTACTAAAATATATATAACCTATATAATAAAGATAGTTTAAAGTCTATGCATAGGCCTATTATGGACCTTTATTTTCGTACAAAATTCCTTACCATAGTGAATAATAACTATTAAAAAGATATGTTGCCTCTGCAACAAAGAACACTAATGTGGCATTAAATGTGGGGTATTAGGGTAGGTGGGGTGATGAGGACTGTTCAGATTTGTTTATTTATCATCTTTTATCTATCATCTATCTACTGTATCTATCTATCTATCTATCTATCAATCTATCTAATGATTTGTGTAAATGTTTCTCATTTTACTTCTGTTTTTTTCTCTTCTGGTTGTTTAACTGTTCTGTCATAGTATAAGCCTATACTGTTAAAATAAACAAACATTCAATACAAAAAGAATTTCCAGAAATTAGTATGCCCCTTAAGGAGTTACACAGATGCATTGTTTAGTATACAATAGCTGAATGTCTAAGATGAGCATCCTTTCTAGCCTTTGTGTGAGAGAAGCTATGTCTGAACTGGCCCGTGCTGCGGCCCACGAGGCAGTGCTGAAGGAGAGCTCCCCCCTCCCTGAGGACCTGCCTCAAATCAAGGGCTACGACTTTAACCAGGGAGTGGATCACAAGGCGCTGCTGGAGTCTTACCTCACCACCGGCTTCCAGGCCAGCAGCTTCGCACAGGCTGTGCAGGAGATCAACAAGATGGTGAGAGAGGACACCACATATGATGTTCTGCCTGAGAGATTATTAAATTAAGGACAGTAAAAACTATAAGCGAGTTTAATTTACTTCCGCTGCAGATTGAAAAGCGACTGGAGCCATTGGAGGAGGTGGGTGAATGTGACACTGATTCTCAGCAGCCACGCTCGGGTTGCACCATTTTTCTTGGGTATACCTCCAACCTGATCAGCTCTGGA